AGCGGCCACTGCACTCCAGTCTGGGCCACAGAGTGAGACTCCAACTCAAAAAAAAAAAACTAAAACAAATAGGAATGCCCATTGAAAAAATAGGCATAAGACATGGACGCTTCACCAAAGAAGCTACCCAGATAGTCAAAAGACACAAACCAATTATCTATCAGAAATATAAATTAAAACCGTAGTGAGATTCCACTACAACTATCAAATTGCTGTAATTTGAAAGACCCGACCATGTAGTTCTGCTCTTTCGATGTATACTCAACTCCTAGATATGTAACTGTGGTATTCATTCAGTGGAATACTACACAACAATAAAAATGAGCAAACTATTGCTTTGTCTGACAACATGGGTAAATTGCACAATGTTAATCAAAAGAAGACAGATGAAAGAAACACCTGCTGCTTGATTCTATTCATAGAAAGTTTAAAAATAGGCAAAACTATTCTGTGATGCTAGACATCAAGACAGTGGCACCTTTGGGGAGGAAAGAAGTACATGTTATGTTGACCTGGCGATGATTTACTCAGATATATGCTTTTAACTGTGCACTTTTCTATATATTTGTTGTATTTCAATTAAAAAGTTATATTTAAAAAACCAGAGGCCAGGCTTGGTGCCTCAGTCTGTAATCCCAGCACTTTGGGAGGCTGAGGCAAGCGAATTGCCTGAGCCCATGGGTTTGAGACCAACCTGGGCAACTTGGAGAGACCTTGTCTGTACAAAAAATAAAAAAATTAGCTGGGCATGGTGGCACGTGCCTGTAATTCCAGCTACTTGGAAGGCTGAGACAGAAGGATCACCTGAGCCCAGCAGGTTGAAGCTGCGGTGGCCAGGAACGTGCCACTGCCCTCCAGCCTGGGTGACAGAGTGAGACTCCAACTCAAACAAACAAACCAACAACAACAACAAAAGAAAAAAACCCAGAATATTTTAAAATAGTATATGCCACTTTTTTGCAGCTTATTTTTCCGATCAGAATGTTCCGTTCTATTGTAAAGTTCTCTTTACTTTCACGAGGGCAGTTTGTAAAGAAGTCAGTAGCCAGCGGAGTTGCTAACAGGAATCACACATTTATCCTGCTCTTCTCCACACCCCTTGACATACTGTTAGTCCCATAGAGACAAATAGACAGATGGATGTATGAATGATCAGAAAGACGGAGAAGTAGTTTCAGCAGTGTTTCCAAGTCTCTCCATTAATTCTGGTATTAATGGAGACAGGGGTGACAGGGATCATGCCTGCAATCCCAGCACTTTGGGAAGCCAAGGCAGAGGATTGCTTGAGGCCAGGATTCGAAAACAGCCTGAGCAACATAAAGAGAGTTCATTTCAAATAAATAAATACATAAATAAACAAATAAATGAATGTGACATGATCATTACAAGAGAAAAGAACACTCTATCCCCTATAAGATCAAGCAGAGGAGATTTTCTGGTGGATAAGATCCACCCAGATCAGTTAAATCAGTCTCTGGGAAAAGATCTGGGCACTGGGGTGTGTGTTAGTTGGAATCTCACTCTGTTGCCCAGGCAGGAGAGCAGTGACACACTCACAGCTACTGCAGCCTCGACCACCTGGGCTCGTGTGATCCTTCTGCCTCAGTCTTCCATGTAGCTGGGACTACAAGCACACACCACCATGCCAGCGAATTATTTGATTTCTTTGTAGAGACAAGGTCTCAACAGTTGTCCAGGCTGGTCTCCAACCCCTGGACTCAGGTAATTCTCTTGCCTCTGCCTTTCAGAGTGCTGGGATTACAGGTGTGAGCCATCTCACCCGTAGAAACTGGTATATATTTTTTAAGTTCCCTCAGGTGATTTTAATGTGCAGTTAGAATGGAGAACCCACTACCCTAAAGCAATTTATACATGTGGTATTTAAGTTTAATAACTTAAAAATCTATTTATGATATTTAGCCATGTGAAAATTCATTGTCATACATTTGATGGGAGTGGTAGCAAGTTAGAGTACTTGAACAGAGTACAACTTGAAATCCCAAGAAGCTTTGCCTTTCCAGATTGGTCTCTGTCTTTGACCTGTCACCGTCACCTGGTGGCAGTGTACTTGAATTGTAGGTCTGGTTTTCTGTGAGGTTAATTAGACGGAGAACTGAATTCCATGAAACCAAAGTCATAAAGTCACAACAACCCTAGCGAGTGTTAATGCATGATTTGTATGCTGGTGAAACTGCAAATTTATTCCCTCATGTTGTTTTCTTCTTTTACTTAAGAATATGATTTAGCCTCAGCAACTAGATGTTGAGAGCATTTTAAAATGCACACAGTTACTAGGGCTTTTATAAGATCAAGATAAACTTGAGAAGCGATGGTAGCTGAGAAATAATGTCTCTTTCTCCCTGGCTCCACCAGCCTTACTGGTGACCCAGAAATTCAGAGAATGATAGTAATGAGGAAGAACTGAGGATTTTGGTGAGGACTGGGTTCAAGGTTTTGAGAGAAACACTAAAGAATTACCTCCAATTCCTGACATTGCAGTTTCTGTAGCACATTTTTGAGTGGCAGGCTAGAATGATAAGGAACACGTTCTGGGATTTTTTTTTTCTCTAGACTCATAATCATTAAGAATTGAAGGATTATGATTCTAGAGAAAAAAACAATCCCGGAACGTGTTCCTTATCATTCTAGCCTGCCACTCAAAAATGTGCTACAGAAACTGCAATGTCAGGCTCAGCCTGTAATCCCGCACCTTTGGGAGGCTGAGGTGAGTGGATTGCCCAAGCCTATGGGTTCGAGACCCGCCTGGGCAGGCAAGATCTCATCTCTACAATAAAATAAAAAAATTAGCCGGACGTGGTAGCGCGCACCTGTAATTCCAGTTATTTGGAAGGCTGAGGCGGAAGGATTGCCTGAGCCCAGCAGGTCGAGGCTGCGGTGGCCAGGAGTGGCCATTGCACTCCAGTCTGGGCGACTCCAACTCAAAAAAAAAAAAAAAAAGAATTGAAGGAAATTTGGGAGTCTAATCCACCCACCTCATTCTGACAGATGAGCAAACTGATGCTGAGAGGTTGGGTGGCTTGTTCAAACTCACATGGCTAGAAAAGTTCAGAACCAAGACCAAATTCCACTTCCACCAGTCCAGTTCTGAGCTCTCGTCACCATAACATGCTATTTCTACTTTCTGTTTAAAACTTTTCTCCCAATTTTTAATAAGCTTCCTAAATATATTTCTCAATCCCATAAAGCATTTATTTATGTAAACCCAACTTTAAAAATAAAACAACTCTGCTTTAAAGCATTACTCCCTGCCATCTACCAATGCCCCAGACCCTTCCGCGCGCGCGCACACACACACACACACACACACACACACACACACACACACACACAC